ACAGCTCCCATTCAGTTAGTGGAGGCTTAAGCACTTCTTTGAGTATGGCATCTTATTAAAAGCCCAATAGTAATGCTTGTCAAGGATAATAGGCATTGTAGCCCAATAAATTTACAGAGCTCAAGGTTGAAAAAGATTGGTCTACACTCTTCCAGGAATGTTGGCAAGTCTTTAGATTCAAGTCTTTGATACCAAGTCCTAAGTCTGAGTCTGAGGCCCTATTAAAACCAAGGTCAACCTATTAAAACCTATTAAAACCTCAGAAAAAAAGAGAGGTTGGGTGGGTTCCAAGTCATAAGTCAAGTCCAAGTCACTGAAAAAACAAGTTGAATCTGAATTGAGTCACCAGTGGGTCTTAAGTTTGACTTGACTACAAGCCCCACAACTTGAGTCCAGATTCCTGCAGTGTTCACAGCTCCTTCCATCTAGCCCATTTCATTTCCACTTCTGGATCACTGTTGTTATCGTCCTTCACCACTCTGTTGTCATAGCAGTGAAGTATTGGTAAGCCTCCATTTACAAGCCAATAAACCCAGTGCATTTGTATGAAGTTACTTCATACGTGGTGGCGCTGCTGGCTAAACCACAGAAGCCTGTGCTGCAGGGTCAGAAGACCAAGCAGTCGTAAGATCGAATCCACGCGACGGAGTGAGCTCCCGTTGCTTTGTCCCAGTTCCCGCTAACCTAGCAGTTCGAAAGCATGCAAATGCAAGTAGATAAATATTTTGTTTTGCTTTTTGCATTAGTGATCATATACTGAGGCCCTAAAACAGAGTAGGAAATGTGTGGCCATCCAGATGTTGTTGGTCTACCATCCACATCATCTCTAATTATTAGTTATGCTGACTAAAGAAAATGGGAGTTGCAGCTCCCAAACAGGACCTCAGCTTTCCAACCCCTCTTGCAAATTGTAGCTGAACTGAATCTGGCAATGTAAGTGGGACATACTTCTGAATACACACGTAAAGTATTCTGCTGTGGGAGACTATAATGAATTTTCAAGTAATTTTTGAAGACAGCAAGAAGAATAGAGGGGGAGGGAATAAGGAAAGGTCTTACTAAGTGCTCCAAGTATTAAATCTAATTTGAGTATAGGGGTGTTTCTAACTGCTGAATCAGATAAAACAACATGGCAACTGAAAAGGACATTAGTCATTAGTGTTGCTTGAATTTATGGGAACAATAAACTATCTAATAAAATTAATTCAAAGTCTTTGGCCAATAAACTCTTAAAAGAACTGGCACAAAACAATGCTATCTGGCAGTGAGAAGGCTGAAATAAACTTGATCCCTTGAGGAACAGAAAATGTAATGAGAAAAATCTCTTATTAGTGCCAGAATTAGCATTACAAGGACAAGGGCTACCAAAGTCACCAATTTATTGCAAGTGCTACACTTCACTTGTGTGCCAAGTAGGCTGAAATCAGAATAGAACAAGGAACAAAAAAGAAGATGAAATGAGGGGGTGTTCGCTATCATTGTCCAAAAAAGCTGCCTGATTATAATTTGAATGAAATAAATTATCACTGATCAATCTAAATTACATTCAAAAATATTTGCTTGATTCAATCTCTGGAAAGTTATTTTTAGCAAAGTTTTAATATGCTTTTCCAGGACTAGATCAACTTTCAAACATATAAAGATGAAGATCGGGAGCTGGAGCCAGCTTAGAAACTTATCTGTGTTGAAGCAGTTGTACAAACTCGCCTCTTATTTACAGATTATAAAAGAACAGGGATGTAGTGAATATTTATTTTACAAAATATCTATGATACGAAATTCTGGGTGATTTCATTTTCTTATATGCATGTACGTACACACACACACACAGGCCTAGAGACAAGGGGAAATTTTGTTTTGGGGCGTGTGTGCATACTCACAGAGGTTCACAGATCCATACACTCAAAATAAAACTTGAAAGACTGTACTTAGTATCCAAGTTGGCAGGATGAAAATAATCATTATTCTTTTATATAAAACACTTGGTTTAAAAATTATCTGCATTTATGAAATCATGTAGAAGGACAATGGTGCAATAGTAATGAAAGGCTCATAGGACTCAAGGGATAGGGTTACAGGGTTCACCTCAGAGAAGAGTTTCCCAAATTTGGGTAACCCAGGTGTTCTTGGACTGCGACTCCCTTAAGCCTTCACCGCCAGCTTTGCTGGCTGGGTTTTCTGGGCCATTTCATTCAAAAACACCTGGATTACCAAAGGTTAGGAACCACTACCTTAGAGCCTTTTACTTCTCAACACTAAACCCTGTTCTTACTAAGCAGAGAGGAAGAAAAAAGACCTAACCCAATTCTGCCAGCTGCATTAGGTCTGACAAAGAGCTAAGGATCTCTATTAGTCTCTAAACCCTCTTTGTTCTCTTGTTACTTTCCATGTACAGTATCACATTCATCAGATTCTTCAACATAGATAGCTTGACTGCACAATGCAGTTGCCTTTTCTGGACTAAATCCAAACATGGTCTGGAGCACATTTTCTTTGGCATTCTTGATTGTGGAAACCTGTTCTGATTCATAATGATACACAGAAGGAAAGGTGACCTGCCTTTGTCTCTGTCAATCCAGGGTTGTGTGGCTCAGTACGCAATAGGTAACGGCTATAGAGATCCCTTAACTTACAGAAATTCACTTCCAACAGTTACACCAACTGTAGAACTGCAAGTGTAGTTTAGGGACCCTACAAACATTTGCTAGGGAATAGGCCATACCTTTTCTCAGAGTAGGATGATCCTGGAAACTGCAGTTGGGAGAGTAAATATTCCAAATTCTGCTTCTACCAAACATGAAAAGGACTGTACTGTAAAGCAACAGGAATTTTTTTGCATGGACGAATACCAAGGGTGTCACAGAAGAATGCCACTTACAGCATTGTTTTTAGATTTCTAGTACATGAAAAAAGAAAAATTTAGCAGGTGCTTTTAATGCAAGCTGCACCTGCTGAAACTTCCACCTCTACCCACTATTAAAGGTATAGGAACCCTGTCTTTTTAAAAAAATCTAATCACCCTAAAACTCAACCCTGTATATATGGATAGATTGATCACATGGAAGAGATAAGGTTCTATTAACCTTTAATAGTTGTATAGCAGTGAAAATTTCAGAAGATGAAACATGTCATGCAAGTATTTTTTTTAGCAAGTATAGTTTTTATAACAAACGACACCTGCTGAAATGTCTACTTCTACATGCTTATTAAAAGCTCTTTCTCATGTGGCTACCCTAAAAACTTAAAATATTATCACAGCATGTCGGAGGGGAGCAGGTGGCATATCATTCCTGATATTTTCTATAAGGAGTTTCATATTAGACAAGATTGGTTCTCCTCCTACACAAGATCATGTGGATGTATTGCTATGGATGATTCAGATCTTTCCAAATTCTGTTGAATTAAAATTCATTTTATCAGTTATAGAAATCATTCACAACCCTACAGGACATTGTTCTTGATGGTAGTTTTGAGAAAAGATGAAACTTCAGATAATCCGCAAAGTTGCAAGTTGTCCTCCTAGGCCAGTATCCTTTATAAGGCCATTTATGTTTTCTTACTGCTTTACTTTATGTCAATCATGAGAACTGTTGTGAATAAACTAAGTTCACATCAGCTTTGCTGGCAGGACTCTCTTCCCTTAAAACCTATAAAACTTCTAAAGGCCTTTTTATCACTTGTAACACTTCATTTCAGCCAACAATGACTCCCTCCTTCACAGCAACTTTGCTGTTCTACCCACATTCCCAGACTTCAAAAGCAGCAATTTTCTGGACAATCCTTTATTACGCTTCTTCTCAAACTATGGGTCGTAGTCTATTCCTGTATGTGTTGCACATTGAAGATCTCTGGTCTTGTGAAGCCCTTCTGAGAAGTTGTCTCCATTCTTTCTTATATTTCACACTATAATTATTTACAGACACATATTGTCTATATTATCATTAAAACTAAAAAATAAAATATACAGTATACATGTTCACTGCTGATACATTGTTCCTATTGGGCTTTTTTTAAGGGGAGAGGCTGCTTGTTTTAAAGGGTGAAGTATGGCTACAAGTTGGAATATTTTGCTATTATAAGAAATAATTTATTCAACAAAAAAGATGAAATTAGTTTCCAAGTGTGTCCCATGTCAAAGTGTTTAAACCCTGCTTTAGCAAAGCAGTCATGCAAACTATATCTGCTGAAATTCCCTCTTCTGCATTATCCTAGAAGAGACAGGGATCCTTGTCCTCTTTTTAATGTGGTCCTCAAACTCTTCACTCATCTCTCAATCACACAGAAAGCTAACTATGTAGTACTATACGCCCCTACTCAGATGCAGATCCTATTTTGTTCAGTAGGCCTTTTTGTAGTAGTTTTGTGCCCTAAAGTTGGAACTGTGTGATATCAATCCTAATAGGATTTTCAAGGTGAGATGTTTTAAGGAGGGGTTTCATCATTTCCATAGCCTTAGTGAGTCCTCATTGTCCAGCGAGAATTCAAAATCAGGCCTCCTGAGTTCTAGTCCTTCACACACTACACCACACTGGGTATTCTCAATAGGCCTTACTATGTTTTCCTAAGAGCAAGTCCCATTAAACTCAATGGGCCCTAGTTCTAAATACATACAGAATTGAGCTGACGCTAGAATATTCTTTTCTGACTTTAGGAGAGCGGCCAAATATTATTTGTGCTCCCTTACTGACACTTTTGGTTTCAGAAACCATACATTTCACAATAATACTGAAATGACAATTTTCTGTTTTGCAAAATGATTTTCATTGTTCGCTGCCTTCAGGAACTCTCTTAAATTAGATGGGAGATTGTGTGCTAAGCAGCTCCCCCCCCCAAAAAAAAAGGCAGCAAATTGCTGCGCACAAATGTATAGCTTTAAAATGCGGCTTTACACACATGAGCTACTCCCTCAAGTTCTTCAACAAAAACAACCAAGTCTTCCCTTCTACGCACGCGCAGAAAATCCTAACGGCGAGCAACAGAGAACTACCGCTGAATCCAGAACCATAGAGCACAGCCATAAGAGGAGCGGCACACGGAAGTGAGCCCAATCATAGAAAACACCATAGAGTTGAACCAAGGGAAGGCTTGGGTCGCGCGAGGGAAGGAGGAAAAATGTCGGCTTCCTTGCTGAGGAGAGGGTTGGAGCTGCTGGAGACGACGGGAGGTATGTGGGGCAGCGGAACGGCTAAGAGAAAAGGGCAACATCCATTCCTTAATTAGTCCTGTCTATCTATCTTTCCTTCTCTCTTTCATTTCTTCCCTTCTGTTCTGGATAGCGACCAGTTCCTGCCCTAAGAAGGCAGCGACCGCCGCCGAACCTCGTCAGCAGCTGCGAAGGAGAAGGAAGAAGTTCTCGGCGTCCAAAAGAGACACCGCGACAATCAAAGGCAGAGTCATCAAATCTGCGTTAGGTGAGAATTGGGGAGGGGGTCCCAATCTGTGATTTCCAGAGGGGTTAACTGCATTGTCGCACATCAGCAGTTTTCGACCACTTTAAAGACTCACTGGTTTAATGGTTGTTGTGGGTTATTCAGGCTCTTTGGCCATGTTCTGAAGGTTGTTCTTCCTGACGTTTCTCCAGTCTCTGAGGCCGGCATCTTCAGAGGACAGGAGTAAGAACTCTGTCTCTGGAACTCCAGTCCTCTGAAGATGCCGGCCACAGAGACTGGCGAAACATCAGGAAGAACAACCTTCAGGATACGGCCAAAGAGCCCGAAAAACCCACAACAACCATTAGATTCCAGCCGTGAAAGCCTTCGCGGATACTCACTGGTTTTATTTGGGTTAAGTTCTTGGTGAGCTGCTGTGGTGTGTGGTGGATAGAGTGACGGACTAGGACGCAGGAGGCTTGGGTTCAAACTCGTGCTCAGCCATGGAAATGCCATGGGTGACAAAGTTGCCCCTTAAGCAGCTCACTTACTTTGAAAGCCATCTTATAATATGGTTGTCAGTTGGATGTGACTTAAAAGCATATCACCAGTTTTATTAGACCTTGTGTCATCATGAAGTGGACTGTGAACTACAAAGGCTTATGCTAGGCAAGATGAAGCTTTGTTTCTTTTTCTTTATTTATTTTTAGTTCAACTCTTCTTTCTATGTCAGTTGCTGGTGTGAGCTTTTCATAACTAAAAACTGGATGAGTCTGTGCTAGCATAGGCAAAACCAAAGAAAACTAATGATTAGCCAATTAACTGCCTGACACAACAGATATATTTGTAGACATTAGTTGAAATCCTGTTGCTTACATAAGAAAACCTGGAATTTTCAGGTGATTCCTAACTGACAAAGTCCATTTCAGGGCTGTTCACACATACACCAAGTAAGAGTATGCATAAGTCCCTGAGAAGTGTAAGGAGGACTCTTTGTCAGCTAGGAATGGAAAGAAAGCTATGAGTTTTCCTGTGCTAAGCAACAGGATTTCGACCATTATTACCAAACTAATTACTCTAAGCGGCTTCTTCTTGGGCGTTTACCCACCATTCTTGTCAGCCCAACAAAATACTGTTATTAATTTCATCTGCAGTTCACAATACCATGTGAACTGTACCCTGTATTTTTCTTTACTCTGGGCCTCAAGTGACAGCATCAGCCAAACCTGATGAAGACAGAAAATATGAAATTCAGTAGTTTTCTATTCTATCTCAACCAGGTGAAATGTTCCCTCATTATGTCTTTTTATCTTACATACAAGCATACTTAGATTGTTTTTTTCCCCATCTTTTCCAGATGAATACAAGAAACATCAAGCTATTGATCACTTTCAGGAGAACTTAGAGTACATGACAAATAGTCAGTACATTACAGACAGCACCATCACTCAAAAGGCAAGTTGTTGCTTATGTGAAAAAATAAGAGCATTATGAGAACAGCCAATATGGGAATACAATAGGAAAAACTAGCAAAATTCTGCACAGTTACTTGCAATTTAAATTAAATCCCTCCAAAGCATTGAAGTTATTCACTTCAACCCTCACATGTTCCAGGGTGTTGAGAAGGGAATTCTTCTCCATATCTGTTTCTACAGCCTTTCTCTATATTTATGCCAAAATACGTTTGCTCCCTAATGGAAGTATTGTGAAAAACATAGCATACCTGGACTGAATTTGTTGTTCACTTCTATCACATTATAAATCTCCTTCACTATTTGTTAGCCTGCTTTCTGTTAGCAACCTATGCTCTAATGTTTGAGATGGAAAAAGCTGGACTGAGCTTGGTAGTCATAAGTAGTTTTACTGTTAGTAAAAGTTGCATGTAACATAATTTCTCGTTACATTGTGTCTGAAGGTTTTAGCCCAAAACAGAGGGAGGAAAGCTAAAGACCGCCCCAAAGAAGAGCCAACGAAGAAGCCCGAGGGCACTGTTTTCACTGAAGAAGACTTCCAACGATTTGAAAAGGAATACTTTGGTGGAGGTGGAGCAGTCTGACCAGAAAAAAAATCCTGTACTTTATTTAGAGCAGACTTTAAAAAGAAAGATCCTTCCTTTCTGTAAATGTTATTTACTTATAGGAAGCTACTTGCAGCTTATTTACCCCAAATTAATTCAGCTATCGTATGCAAGATATTGCAATCTGTTCTTCATGTGAAGAATCCATCTCTGGTATTCACCTGAAAACACAATGTCCACCAGCTCTCCACTTTGAACATTTAATTGAGGTACTCCTGCTGTATGGAACAATGACTAGATGAAAGCCTCCCTATCTTGTATTGACTTGAACTGTTGGCATTTAGATACATTACAAAGAAAATTACATAGTGAGACAATAAAATGGTTTCTCTATCGGCCCACAGCTTTTTGCTGCAACAAACCAAGACAGCTATCTGGTTTAACATGGAACTGTAGATTAAGTTCACGACTGAGTACCTGTTTACCTCATTTTTTATAGTATTATCTTGTGACATTTTTATTTAAGGAAGTAATGTACTACAGTACTGGCTAAACTACCTTCTGTCCTACAAATACTGTTACAAAAAACCTGTATTTTTATAATATTACTTTTAAATTTTCCTCTGCTTCTGAAGGTTTATGTTGCTTCCTGCCATTCTATGTCCTTTCTATAATTTCAGCATTAAGATACTGTAAATAAAAAGGATTTCAGACTATTTTTATAACCATTCTAGAGACTGAGTCATGTTGATCCTTTCTGCTGTTTAAATACCAAGAACCATTCAATGGTACCTGATGCTGTAGCAGTTCTAAAGGTGAGCAAGGATAGGATTGATCCAAAGATTACAACTACAATATATCAAGCCCTGTGTAGAAATAGAATGAAGAATTCTAAGTCATGTAAACTGTGTTCTAATAATAATCTAAAACAGGACTATTTGGTCTATTTTGGCTCACTTCTGCTGGCAAGTGACTTGATTGATTTTTGTAGGATCACTGATAAATTTGCACTACTGAACGTTTACAGAACTGTTATTAGACTTTTATAACCTTGCAGTTAGTAACCAAACTAGTAAATGCACTTTGCTAATAGTAGTAAATGATAGGAAAGTGTCCAGACCATTGCCTAACCCTCCCCCCACTACTTGCTGCACCTCGTTATCAGAAACAAATTACTGTATTGCAATATGAACATCTGTGCTGCTTAACTTGTTGCAAGCAGCAGAATAGTCACGTGAATTACTCTGAAGACTAAGATATTTATGAGGATAATTTAGCTTGGCAATTGGAAATGGGGGCTTCATATTCGTATGCAAAGCCCCTTGGCACAGGTGGCTGGCCTGATTACCTTTCACCCCAAGACTCCACTGGACCACTAGCTGCACAGTGCACGGTACATGCGGCCAGCATCATCTTCTATGCCCCAACTGCAGCAATAGCTTGGCTGCCACAGCCCCGCCTCCTGTTCACCCTGCTACTCCAGCAAGCAGGTGGGCGATTCTCCCTGCTCAGCTGGATAAACACGGAGGTGGGGCTGCAGCAGCCAAGCTACTGCCACTATTGGGGCATAGAAGATGATGCTGGCCACATGTACCGTGCACTGTGCAGGAAGTGATCCAGTGGGGTCTTGGGGTGGAAGGCAATCAGGCCGGATGACTTCGTACAGGAATACAAAGCCCCCATCTCTATTGGCAATACTGTATATGGTATATAAAAGTCATAGCTGAACAGGCTGAATGGTGCAACAGTAAACATGTCCAAATGGTGGCAGAACTGTCAGTCTTTCAAGTTTCTGTGCTATGACGTGGTTTGTGATTATGCTGTTTTTTCACCCTAAAGTGGCTTGAGTATCCCACCTTGAGTAGGTGTATGCAATCAATTGCCAAGTGGTAGGTTGGCTGCTCCCCTTCATGGATTGCCTTGTCGTGGTGAAGGGGTTTGAGTAATTCAGAGTAGCTATGGCCTATGCCGTGCAGGGACACCCAAGATGGACATGTCATAGTGGAGAGTTCTGACTAAATGCCATGCACCTGGAGCAGGAACTGGCAAGCCCCTCCAGAAAATCCCATGGACAAAAACAAAAGGTTAAAAGATATGACACTGGAAGATGAGTCCCTCGGGTTGGAAGGCATCCAACATGCTACTGAGGAAGAGTGGAGGACAAGTACAAGTAGCTCCAGAGCTAATAAAGTGGTTGGGCCAAAGCCGAAAGGACACTGAGCTGTGGACATGCCTGGAAGTGAAAGGAAAGTCCCATGCTACAACGAAAATTACTGCATAGGAACCTGGAATGTAAGATCTATGAACCTTGCTAAGCCGGATCTGGCCAAACAGGAAATTGCAAGAATAAACATTGACATCCTGGGTGTCGGTGAACTAAAATGGACAGGAATGGGTGAATTCAATTCAATTATATCTACTGTTGTGGGCAAGAATCCTGTAGAAGAAATGGAATAGTCCTGATAGTCAACAAGAGTGGGAAAAGCTGTACTGGGATACAATCCCAAAAATGACAATGTTTTCAATACGAATCCAAGGCAGACCTTTCAGCATCACAGTATGAATTTCCAATTATTTTACTCATGCATAGTTTATACCAGCAGGATTTTGCAAATGGCTTCTATAATAAGACAAGAAATCACTCACTCCAAATTGTTCATAAGCCAGCAGCTTGAGCAATCGTTAACTATGGCTGCATAAGGAAATGACAACTTGTCATTCACTGTGACAGTTTTTGGAACTACTGTATATACCTGTAAGCCCGGGTTTTTTCTTCTTCTTTTGGCTGAAAAAGCACCCCCTCAGCTTATACTTGTGTCAAAATTACATGTTCTCCCCTGCAGTGTGGGTGTTCTCCGGACTCCTCCGCTCATCTACTGGTGCCTGTAGCCTCTGTGGGTGGTCCGACGACCTTTAAGTACATTGCATTTCTGCTTCCAGGACACTCCCATCCTCATCCTCCCGCTGCTGCATATTATATTGCACCCACCTTCCTCCTCCATCCTCAGTCTCCCTCCATCAGTAGAGCAGTACATAAGCGCAGCATCCAGTCTCCTTCCCCCACAGGCAGTGAAGCGTCTCACAGCTCAGAAGGGCAGTATCTTCGAAAACATTTAACCTCTACTGATGCCTCAATTCCTGTAATTTTATTGGTATCTATTTTTATTTTTGAAATTTACCAGTAGCTGCTGCATTTTCCACCCCCGGCTTATACTTGAGTGTTCCCAGTTTTTTGTGGCAAAATTGGGTGCCCCAGCTAATATTCAGGTCGGCTTATACTCAAGAATACACGGTAGTTTAAAGCATGCGTAATCTCAGAATAATTGTTGTTAGGCATGTAATTTACAAATTAAATGCAAGCAAGCAATTGTGACTTCCTTTAGTCTGATGTACTGCCTTCCATAAGTCTTCCCTTCAAGCCTTCAAGAATACATCTTCCCTTAAGTTTGCACATATCTCTAGGCTTGGCAAAGAGCAGCATATTAATTTAAAAGAAGGAATTTTCTTGGATTCTCCCAAAGTAGAAAAAAATCTCGACACAAAAAATACTAGAAAATAATTTATTAACAAAAAATACACATCTATTTGCACCAAGCCTCTATATACATGCATGTAACATCTAGTCTTGGACTACCCTATTCCGGGACTTTAACCTTTTTACTCTTCGCTTTTCGGACCTCTTCTATCAGATCTTTCAAATACTGAATTTCTTTGCTCAGGGAATCTGCCTTCTCCCTCAGGGTCTCGTTCTTCTGTTCCAGTTCTCTACACTCTCCTGATAAGGCCTCTTGCTCTGCCCTTTTCTTCTGCCGATACCTTGTAGCTGCCGTCTTATTTTGTTCCATCTTCTTCAGTTTCTTATCTATTCTTTTTTCTCCCTTTATCTTAGATGGTATTTTCTTCTCTGCAGGAGAATCATAAGGCTTGGGCCGCACAGAACCACCATGCGGAACCGTAACTGACTGGCCATCACTGAGGGAACTAACAGAAGTAGTAGGACTTTGCTGGGGTGACCCTAGGTAAGATTCTGGACTCATGCATATTCCACTATCATTATCAGAATGTGCTTCTGCATCCTTCTCACACTTGGGAATCACCACCAGTAAGATTTGGGCTTCGGTTTTCCCGTCTACTTCAAGAACATCAACTTCACTGCCTAGTTCTAAGCTGAAAGAATGGTCTGCAGTGGAAGTCACTGACTCTGAAGAGATGGGAAACGATAATAATGAAGTAAGTGAGGCCACCTGGTCTGCCCCAAGGAGAGACTCTTGGGAATAATTAACTGGTTCTGGAATCAGCAATGTTTCTTTATTGGGAATTTCTTGAATGGGTGGAATTTCTTCAATGGATGAGTCAAACAGATCAGACGTGTTTTCCAACGTGGCCATAAGCTCATCTGGGAAGACGGTGGCTTCCAGATCATCAATACCTAATAGCGCATCAAAATCAAACTCCTTCAGATCCATCTTCTCCACCATCCAATCCATGCCAGAGAAGGCATCCTCTGTCAAAGCGAAAAAACAATTTCAATAATTAAAATTATGAGGAAAAATGAAGATTTTCTCAGTTTTTTTCATGGTGATCATTTTATAGCATACGTTGCTAATACTTGCAAAGATGCATCAAATACCTTAACAATTAAAAATGCCATATGCCTTTATGGAACCAAAACCCAAGGAGGAAACCCGCTTCTTATAAAACTGTCCTACATATGTGTCACTATCTTACCCTGGCTGTTGTCTGTGGCATCGTTCAAACTATCCACAGCCAGACAATCAGAGGAGCCCACTTTAGCCTTCTCGCTGGAGAACCCATGCGAAACGAGGTTCTTGGCCACCTCCAGGTAGTCATCCAAGAGTCCTAGACCTTCTTCAGCCACCAAAGACAGCTGGTTGAAGGGGGAGTGAATATCCCCCAACAACATCTCTGTGTTTGAGAAGCTCATTTTGACCAAGTTTTAGTACTTTGTCGTCAAAAAGCAGAGACAAGTAAATGGTGTCTTTGTCAACTACAGCAAAGCTGCTGTGCAATGCCTTGGAAAACCTGGAAGAGAGAAAATATTTTTATTACAGAGATAATTCACTAGAACTTCAATGTAATTGATTTTTATACAAATACAATACTAACTGTACATGGCCATGCTGCAGCAATGGCTTTGATTCCAGCTTTAGCTTTTTAGTTACCATGATTTCAACCTGAATCCAACTCAAGCACTAATTCTTATGAATACCAAGGTCTGCTGTACAACGCCGACTAAGGTTTGTCAAAAATGCTTTCACCTCTAGATGCCTGCTTGTATTTCCTCATAACCATATATGGTCAGAGACAGTCACAGCTCCACCCACCATTTTGCTTAGTCTGATTCACGCATTTACTAGCAGCAACAGCTGCAGCCATTTCAGATCTGCCTGCTATACATGTCCCCACCCAATAAACTGCCCGCCATTTTGTATTCTGCCACGTTTCTATTTAGAGCAATGAAGGCAGCCATAGCTGCCCAAGCATTTTAAACTTCTATTCATAGAATTAAAAAGCTAAAGAACTTTCCCTAAGTACAGAGAAAGTTGATTTCAAGGTGACAAAAAGTAGGCTAAAAGTTTAGTCCTGTCATAGATGGCTTCACCAAGATTTCCAATACAAAATACATTAACATCCCCCACCTAAACAGATCCTGTAATTTCCAGTTACCATCCTCCCAGTTGAATCTTCCCCTAAAGTTCTGTCTATAATAGATACAGTATTACTGGTTAAATTTCTACCTAATTAGTTATTGCTAACACAGTACATAAAGTATACTGATTTTTTTAAAAGCACAAAAATGTGATTCTAGCACTAGTTGTGACCAAAACAGAACGCAGGAGGAACAAAAGTTCAATTCTCAAGGTATTTTCTTACACGTGAAAAGACAGCCTTCCGCTCTTTAATTAGGTTGGGGAATCCCGAGGGTCATTAAATCCCCAGCCCCTTTCAACAGAAACACACTCTTGACACTTTTTCCCCAGGGGAACTCGTAACCACTGGATCACTCACTACCTAAACTCTATTACGACTCTTCTGCATGCAAGAAGCCGTTCACAAGCTGTAATTGTTTTCTTAACCTAGATTTGTAACTCGCTAGACATAACCAACAAAATTCCCTCATAAGCGGCGTATGGCTAAATTACATACAGGGAGATCGTCAATCTTAGAGCCGATTTGATGAGAAGGATTAACATCCAGCATTGTTCCGGATATATTGAATATGTCATGTCTTTTAAAGTATTACAGAATTTTGTGAGTGCTGAAGTGGCATTTTGGCCCCTCATCCTTCTTCTCAATACTCACGCCATGGTTGTAGATGCCTGGAGGTGCCGAGGCCGCGGCCGCTGGTGCTGCGCCTCTGCAATGGCCGATGCCGCCGCTTGCACTGCCGCCCCTACCATGCCATGGTGGCGGCTGGGCACCCTAGAATCTTTCCTCGCTTGTTCGGTCCGAGCCGCGCCCCTCAGCAGCAGAACACCGGTAACAACACCAACCCCTCTTTCAATTCTTCCGGCCAGACAATGAACTCAATGGCGTCGCGTTCTCGGTCTATATAGTCAAACGAGATCCGGCAGCCCAGTCGTTTCACCGGACAAGCCCTCTAAAGGAATCCATCCGCTACAAATCTTCAGATTTAAAACACCTTCATTCGACAACGGAACTCTAACGACAACATCCCTCTCCGAAATTTGTCTACTGGACATATGAATAGTTTGTAGGATTTTTATGCGGAAATCCTTAATCCGTCTAAAAAATTCCGCGGAGGAATCAAAGGTACTATACTGTGTTTTACTGTCCCTACAAGACTCGTCTCTGGCGCCTCAATTAAGGTCAGGCCACGTGACGCAGAAACGGCTGCCTAGCTTCCTATTGGCTTCCCAAGACCAGAGGAAAGACGGCGGGATGAGGAGGTGGATTCCCGCACTTCAGAATAGCACGTGGACATGAAAAATCTCATAGGCTGACAGTTACTCGTTCACGTGGACTGCGAGCTACTATTGGCTTAGAGAAGGAATCACGTCAATGGCTTTTGTAGGCTGTTCGGACATGGGAGTGTAATGTTCTTTTGCGTGCGTCGCTCGCTTATTAAAAGTGTTGAGCCTTAAAGCTGGGGGTGGGGAGCGGTTTTAAATGTGTACTGCGTTTCTCTTCAGGCTTTGCTGCCTTGGGCTGTGAACGTGAGGAGGGTTTTGCTCCACCAGGCTCTTCCTTCCCTCCTTCCTCTTATGTCCTTAGAAAAGAAATGGCGGCTGACACACAACCCCATTAGACGACCGGATTCCTGAGGAGGGCGTCGGCGTCTCCTTTCAGCCACAAAATTAATACCCAGGATATGTGAGGGCACCAGCAGGACTAATTCCTTCCCTGCTGGTTCCATTGCAGAGCCATAGGCTGCCTAGCTCCCTCTCCTCCCCCCCCCCCAGCCGCAGCGCTGGTGCCTAGGCAAAATTATTTTCTTCCTTAAAAGATCTTTGAACGGTCGCAATACTACGCGTTTTATCCTTTCTCCCCCCCCCCACACACACACACACACATTTTAAGATAGTCTCACGTGGTGACTGACAGGGACTGTCAGCCATGCCTAAGGTCCTGGGGTCGGTTAAAAGTGTCTGGGAAGCCACCAGATCTTTTGGATGTCAGAAGTTGTTAATTGCAGATCTTTGGTAACAGATGAAACTCTGCTTTTCTAGCCTTAGTCAGGGTAGTGTCAGGATGGGGAAAGGCAGGCGAACCCAATTCTCCCCAGCACCCCACTTTGTGAGAGAATGAGTGGTGGCTTCTAGAAGGTACAACCATCAGCCTCTGGTGCTCAGTTATTGCTTCTGAATGGTCCTGCCAAGCCCAGTTCTGCATTGGTGAAACGAGTAGAGCTTTCCAGGAGACGGCAACAGAGATGGGCCCTGTTTAACACTTGATCTGAAGAGAAAGGCTGGCTATACAGTGGGGTCTTGACTTGAGAACTTAATCCGTATTGGAAGGCGGTTCTCAAGTCAAAAAGTCTGTAAGTCAAGTCTCCATTGACCTACAGTGCATTGAAAACCGATTAATCCCATAACAGGCCACTTTTGTTCCATTTTGGTTTTTTTCTGGTGTGCTCAGTTATTGCCTCTGAATGGTTCCGCCAAGCCCAGTTCTGCATTGGTGAAACAGTAGAGCTTTCCAGGAGACAGCAACAGAGATGGGCCCTGTTTAACACTTGATCTGAAGAGAAAGGCTAACTGGCTATATAGCAAAAGAAGGTGCAGCCTTTTCTTGCTACTGCGGCTTGTACAGTAGTTTGGTGCTTTGAGCTGAGTAAATTTCACCCCCCACACCTCACTCAAAAGCAGCTTTTAGGTTAGCAAGTAAGTGGATGATTTCACTGATTCCTTTGTACTGCACTGCCCAGAAAAAAAGACACTGGGAAGGGGACAAGTTTGCTTGTACCTTTTCACTGGGTAGCCATGTTACCTAGTGAAATCCTTTTTACTAGAATGCTCAGACACTGAAGAAGAGATGAGATGGACACACCGAACTGTCTCCATCTTGATCATACACTTTCTGGTGCTCATTTGAAGAGCTCAAAGGAGACATCATATCCCTGTATAAGAGGCAAGCTTCAAGGTCATCTAGCAAAGATTATAGCTGTCTGGGGCAAATGTGGGCAGGCTTTATATCTGTGGACTTTACATTGCTTTTTAGCAGGACTCAAGCTCCACCAGCTAGAGCCAAGGTGCTAAATAATGGTATAAGTCTCCAGAAGTACGTTACACATTAAGAAAGAAGGTGCCTCTGAGCAGTTGCTCAGTGTGGGTGTTTGAGATCAATAGCAAAACTAAGCTTACATATGCATCTTTTCAGATTAAACTGCTGTTGGTTTTTTCCAGTAATTGCTCCTTTTCAGCAGTCTAAAATTGAGAGAAGAAAGCTTTCAACCATTCCTAATTTTTAACTACTGGGATTTAGAGCTCATTGGTGATCTCTTCTAATATTCAGAAATCTTGCAGCAGACTTTAATCTGCCTACTTCTGTGCATGAATCAGAACTGGATTCTTTCCATATTTTCTAAAAAAAACTGTTAGTGTTTCAGTATTAAATGTGTTCTGGCCCTTTCAAGTTAACCCACACTTTTTTTCTTGGAGCAAATCCTGTACAGTTATATTAATATTTAGAAATATTAAAAATCAGTTTCTAAAGCAATCTATATTTTGTTTCTAATTATGTCTGATCTACTGTTTCACCTTATTGAGATAACATCTTCAACAGCATAAAGAGGAGCCAAGAGGAATCAAAAGAAAGAACTACAGAGAAGGCAAACAGTCACTTGATAGACAGACACATCAGCATCTGTGTTTTTCATTGACACAGTAGCAGCTGTCTTATTTGTTTTAAAGGTTACAGTAGATTTTATTGACTGATGCAGGTCAATCTGTGACTGCAGTCATTTTGAAACACTGCAGAACACATCTGATTATCTAACAAGATATTTGATTCATCAGGACATTATACCAAATGTGCACAGATAAATTTCTCAATTACGCATAGTTGAAAATAGTTTGTATCAATATTCCAAGACATATTTCGTAGATCAGGGTATATGTCCTTGCACCAATTGACTTTGGCTTGTGTGTTTATCAGCATTTGTTCAGCTACATAGTTTTAGTTTGGTTTCAAATCTGATTAAGTAAGTAAGGGAGCTAAAGAATTTATAAGTGGATTGGCAGCACTTTGCTCTTTTCAACTAGTCATTTTTGCAAAACTCAAAGCAACAAAAGCACCACTAAAGTCACTATCTGCAGCACTCCATGTAGTAAAGTATGAATAGTGAAACTGCAAGATATTGTACTCAGAAAATCTGTCCATAGCAGCAATAATGTAGATGGCATTTACTTTCCACCCAAAAACAACATTTTAAAAAATTTAGTAAGACTGAACTTTCAGGATATTGTTCCATGTGTGACTAGTTGGACAAATGGGTGGACACCATCACAAGGTGGTAATTGCTCAGTATAAACATCTCATATGATTTTCCTTCCTTCCATATATTTTGTTTTTCTTTAAAGGAAATTTTAAAAGATGACTGTAATAACAGTATAATCATTGGAAATTAAATATAGATCTTACCCTTTTCTCTGCAAAAGATGGTAAATCTCCATCAAAAAGCTCATTGTAGAGGTGAACAAAAGGCACAAGTGAGATAACATGAACTGGCTTGCCCTTTGTTATAAGAAAATAAGCCTTAGCATTTGTGCTGGAGAAAGTTTCCAGTTGGGAAATCATATTCCTGTGCCAAAATCACTCCTGTTTTGATCTCTGACTTCTGTTAATGTTGTTATTCATATGTGGTATGGTAAGGTTTAAAACATATTGCTCGTGGACACTGGGTAGAAGAATTCATAGTAGGAGGGGCCATTATTAATGAGTTTACTGAAGTGATGTCAGAGTTCCCTTTCCCAGAATCTAATGACCATAATCCCATTACTTAGTTATGCTGTGTAAGTCCAATCAATGGTGCAAATTGCTGCCAGTTAAGAAATGAACACTATATTTCCCATAAGAAATGAACACTATATTTCCCACATGTCAAGCAACTAGTCTGATATATGAAATATAATTCAATGCTTAACTAGTGGCAATTTACCACTGAGATATACACAGATTTATACCAAAGAAAATAATAGGATGCTGGTCATTGCAAGGTAGAGACAACATAAAGCATACACTGTCTTCAGTCTGCCCTAATTTACAGCAGAGTAAGTGGCTTTGTCTAGTAATATTCAAAAGAAATAATTTGAATATTCTATTTTAAATAGAGTTTACTTGTTCATTCATTTATTTAATTAATCACCATGTCACCACTACTTTTAGAACAGCTTGCACATACACATGCAAAGGGGAGTTCTACTTTTAGAACTGCTCTGGGGTTGTAACGATCTGAATGTCTGTTGGGCAGGAAATACTGCTATATTTGGGGAAATTGCAGTAATGTCTAGTATTCTTCCTCCTTTATCTATAGAAGGGAACATTTTCATTGTATCTGGTGGTCACAATCATGTCTTCCTCTGCTGCAGCTCATATTGCTTAAGTGGTTATGCTTCTATCATCCTGTTGTAGCGTAACTCTAATACAGCAGACATACAAAAGATTATTTAGATGCCAGAGGAAGCACAAGTTAAAGTTAGATAGTTATCCAAACCTATAAAAATGGTAAGAATTTTTTTTCAGGCAATATTCCAATTGTTAACAATTCATGCTATGTTGTGAATGGGCCTTTTTTACTTCACACAGACACATGGCTTAGTAAATGTCTAAACTATGTGTAAAGAGATTTTTTAAAAATTACTCAACATCCCATTTCCTTCTCTTTTATGCATCCCCTCCCCACCACTTGAAAAAAACTGTAATTGCTTCTATGGGCACAGTCTTGTGCTTGATACAGTACATGTAAGACGAAAGGTTCTACAATTAGACTGCAATTGTTCTATTAGCTGGACAGTTCAGCCTCTAATCTATCCCACAGAAAAATGAGGACAAACTGAATTTTAAGAACATAAAGCCAAGCAATATGACCAATGTTTCCTTTGATGAGACAGTTAAAAGTTAGCCTTTAAAGCAGTGGTTCCCAACCTTGTGTTCCCAGATATTTTATGTATTTCAGCCTTCTGAAGCACTTGCCAGCATAGCCAATGAGAACTTAAATACATAAAGTCTCAGAAGTCTTTCTTTAAGGTCTTCATGTAATGGTTTGAAAACCATGTCATAGACATATTATTTACCATTGTAAAAGAACATATTCCACACTCCATTTTTTTCGGGTTTTTTCCAGGCCTTCCCATCTCTACGAACTACATTCAGGGATTCATGTAACAATTACTCAAGAGTAGATGTTTACATGTTCGTGTTTCTGCAAATTCCCCAGGCAGCTAAAGAAGTTGTAGTCCAAAAGAACAAATCTATACACTTCTATTCCAGAGCTTCGTTAAAAGATTCTAGCAATTTGTTTTACACATACCAAGGAACCTGTGTAGAATCAGAAACTAAAGATCTGGATAGCAGCTGGATTTTATATTTTCTAAAATGGGGGAATCAGTAATCTTATACTTTATCATCCCAGAGTTCTTATATCTAGTTTGAAATCTACATAGTGCATTGCTGAACACAGTGACCAAAATCCTATAGCTTATTGCAAGGGTCTCCAAACTACGGCCTGTGAGCCACATTAGGCCCACCTTGCCTTTTTATTTCGCCTGGTGTGCAGCGGTGTGGGAGTGCGAACGTGCGCATGCACGTCTTCCTTTGGCCTTCAAAACTGTGAAACATATATGATATGGCCCTCAGGCTGAAAAGTTTGGAGACCCCTGGCTTAGTGTAATAAATTGCATTAGAGTAAGCCCACTGATGGTGGGTCAACTCCTGTGTACTTTTCAAGAGACCTGGATTTGGTTCTCCAGTTTTGCCATGGAAACCCACTGGGGACTGGAACTGGAATTAGGATTGCTATAAATCTGTTCTGATTTGACAACACATAACAACAAAGTAGCATTACTACATCCATGTGCCTGCTGTTACACACCAGGCTAATCTACATTTACTTGCTCTCATGAAGAGGCATGGATTCAGGAATCTCCCAAGGGGATGCAGTCATATATCTTGCAAGCACTGTATCCCAAAGCAGAACATGGTACTGATGAGCTCAGCAAGCTGAAAGTATGGAAGAGGAAAGGCACTTAGAAAACATGCAGGAAAAAATTCCCTCAATACATGTAAAGCTAGATTCTACAAATATCTAGCAGGTTGTGGGCTATCACTTGGGGTGGGAAGAGTAAAAGGAACCTACATTGACTATCAGCTCGGAGGCAGTAGTGTAGGGAAGTTATGTCTGTCTTGTCATTACTCAACAAGTTACAGTAATTTGTAGCTGACTGCTCTCCAATAAAGAAAGGTTAGGCATTGCATTACCAATCTATGGGAGATATATCAAGTTAAGAAAGAATTTCATATACAGCAAACTCAAGATCAGATGTCAAGGAAACACTTATAAATTCAACAACTACACAAATTCTTTAAAATCACTGAGAAATACGTCAAGGGGAAGGGCTTCTAAGATGGAGGCAGGAGATCTAATATAAAGAACTGAAAAGCAAGTAGAAGTGTGTGTTATGCAAAGGTCTAAAGCTTCTGGGGCACTCATTTTTTCGGGGAAAAACACCCTCATATATATGCACATCTTTGGAGCTGTCTGGATAAAGCCTCTGGACTCACAGGACTGGTATCAAGGGTCAGCATGGCTACACACGTGATAAGAGCCTGCCTCTCATCAGAAGGACCACTGAGGGCACTCTCAACCTGCATTTCCTTTTCACCACTGCCTTTACATGGTGATAAGGTGGGATAAGGATGAATGAATGAATGGTAACTGATCCTGCAGAACTCATGTCTGCCTTTCACTCCTCGCCAATTTTTATTCACAAATGATCAAGCACCCTCTGAGAATTGAATACAGTTGCAGATGGACTACAGCATTGCTTAAGTAGATTCTTCCCCAAAGCATTACAAGATCATAGGACAAGGAAATAAGATTTTATCAATCTAATTGGCACACAGCAATTTTCCCTTTACCCAACATAAAGAATGCAGGAATAGCTACAGTGCCTCTTTTTAACATACCGACACAACCACGATTGTGGAAAGTTACTTTATTTCACAATTTCCACATCCTGTTACAGACCATGCACACTAGACCTTCCTCTTTCAAGCCTTTTACATAGCACAAGGCTTGAGAATATCCAGTATCTCATTTCTTTTTCTTCACTATCAAGGGCTCACAGACATTGGAAAAAGCCTATTATCATTTATAAAATTAATACTCCTGTTAAGAATTCCTCTGACTTGGAAGGTAAGTAGCAGAGTTTGACAGTGGCAACAATATGTTATTGAGCTAGTTGATCCCCACTCAGAGATTCAGGGGGAAAGCCTCATTGGTTTATGTGACCCAAAGTCTCCCAAGGCCCAAACGACTTAGATTTGGGGGCCTATGACGATCATTTGATGCCACAAGTTCCTCCTCCCACAAGATTTGGGAAAACAGCCCTTAGCTTTATTTGCATCTCTAGTTTGTTCTGCTGTTTCACAGGAGAGCTCCATAAATACTTAAGACTAAGCCCTCCTAGCTTCAAATACCAAATATATTCACATGCATTTTTAGTGAATACTGACAAGGTTTCATCTTAACAGTTCTTTGGACTAAATTGTCCAGTCACTTAGTAGCACTAGTGCAAAGTTCTTAAAAGCTGTCCCATACTACCCAGTGTCTCAACATCATGCAAGATGCATCGCCTTCAACAGGAATCAGGAATAGGCCCGACATGGCTGAACTTTGTGGTGAATGAAGCATTTGCTGCTTTTGGAATTATGAGCTCACTACTGTATACACTGACTGTAATCTCTCTTTTTTTAGGTACTTCAAAGAAAATAGTTCATTACTGTTTTGGAAAGGAAACTGGTGACAGAAGGGAAGAAAACCAAATTGTGTCTTGCTGGAAATGGAAGTGGCATAAGCCTACATTCAATATGTATTCAGCTTTATAGCAATAAGGCATAGTCAAGCCTCCTATTAATTATGTTTTTAACAAGTGAATTGATTTACTTTAAAAATAAGCATATAATATGTATTCACGAGTTGAAGAGCAGGAAATATTACATTCCTCTTCCTCCAAACTCAAACAGCATTTCAGACTCTGACTCATGAGAAGGGAGAGGGATGAATTTAAGCACTGGAAAAAGCAATAGCTTCACTGTTCATTGAAAAACCTGGTATTTTTCCAGGCTAAAATTTTCCAAACACCCCCACACAATCTTTCAAGTCTTTGGCAAGAAGCCTGTTGATCATTAAATACTGGCAACACTATTTCATTGATATGTAACACTGTGTATAGTGAGCATACAAACTGACAGACTGTGAAACGGGGCACCTTCCATACATAAGGGTACACAGACCAAAGCCTTTGCTCTGGAACGACTTCACGTAATAATAATTACATGCCGTGATTTACCTTATTAACAAAAGCAGCAACTTCAAAATAAAGAACAAGGGCAGGCAGTGGTTCACACCTCTGCAGACCTGAAATTATCTCATTACTCATGTTACCTTTTAAAGGCAAGGGTGGGTATTTCATGTGCAGAAACAGAAATCATATCTGCAGAAATACTTGCCCTGCTGGTTAAACTGAGAATAATTACTTATAGGACACTTTCTCAGAGTTTGGAAAAATTACTTTAAGACTGCAACCTCAGGAACACTCAGTATGGCCATTTGTCATGTTGACCAGGATATTCTAGAACTCACCGTCCAACAAAGTAACATTTGAAAGGTCTGCTTGTTTTCTTTTTCTGTATTATGGCAGCAGTAATAGAAGCAAATAGATAACACATTAACAGCCAAGGCCAATTCCATGCCTGCTGAGCAGGAGATAATAATAAAGTGGCTATATCACTATCTCAGGGAGCAGGCAGAGGAGAGCAAGGAAATGTCACTTGAAGGAGAGAAAAGGTTAAGATGATTCCTTCAAAGCAACAGGAACAATTAAGATACCACTCTCTTCAACATGACAAGTAATTTCTATGTATACATTCTACTCATGCTTTCTTTTGAATGGTGGTAATAATCTGTAAGTAGTAACTTTAGAGACAGAAACACACAATAGTACCCATCAGTTATTGGATTGCCACTGTATGGAAGATCAAGATCTGAAAAGAACTTAGAAAAGTTACATTTTCCAATACCAACTTCCTTAAATCCAATTCAGGGAGTTGCAATTAAAAAAATACTTTTCCAAGTACTGGGTCTTACATTTGTCTTCCATGTGTAAAATTCTTCACCACTGTATTGCCATAAAGAGCTGAAGAGATGCCACTGGAAACATCTGAGATGCCTCCTTACTTTTGACTGTTTTGCTCTATACTATAATTCTTTTCTATGGAAGGGATCTTTCTTAGCAATTTCTACTTTTTAAGGTAGCGACCAGATGGATAGGCAGTTCTCACATTTCTATTTTCTTACATAGCTTTCACTTTCTTAGGCAGTTACTGCATCTCAACAGCAACAAATGGGAACTTATACTCCCTACATTCTTTTAGATTTGTTAGGGACCTACTACCACTTTTTCAAACATGGGTGCAACCATGTATGTGCAGTGAAGGGCACCAGAGCAGCAAAAGAGAGTATCCTAGATAACATGCACTCATCTTCCCAAAGATGCCATTATAGTGAAATTCAAAATGGTGAAAAGCTATGCAATGTGCAAATTCTGGCTCTCTCTGGATGAACCCATCCCCCAAACCTTGCAAGTACAATTAGTGCTCAGAGCTCTCCCAAATACATTCCTTGTTATAAATAACTGTATTCCAAAAATTTCTCCCACGTTACTACGCAATACTGCGCACAAAGGGGACAAACAAAAACACACACCCAGCAGAACAAACCCCTGTGAAAACCATATTACCTCACTTAGATAGTAGTGAAAATTGCTATGGTTTACTGGCCCAATCTCACACCTTCCAAGGTGTATGTGAGAGTTTTCACAGCAATGAGGTGTGGAGTATTGGGGAAGAGAAGTGCACAGTGTTGGGACAGGCACCTGGAACAATGGAAGCAAGGACTTTGTAACAGACCGAGCAACAGTTTCACACTAATTCTTCCCTGTCAGACAACTATGAGGGTAGTGGAACTGAACCAGTAGCACCAAGAAATTTTATCCCCTCCCCCACCATACAATTAAAAAAGAAAAAGAAAACCAGGACTGGACTTGTCAAAATAAAGGGGGAAGGTGTGCATATCTCACTCAGGAGGTTTTAGAGAACCTCTCATGTGCAGTAGCTCTATTAATATTCTGTATAAGGCAGCTATTTTGTCTGCAACAGGACTTCTGGTTCTGAAAGGGAACAGTACAGGGTATAGCCCAGCTCATCCACTTCTTCAGGAGTAAGCTCTGAAAACAAGTTCACCTTGGGATTCAAAACACTGGGAAGAACTCCTGCTTCTAAATAGCGAATTAGTTCTCTCAGTGCCTGAAGAAAACGGTCAGCAAGCACATCCTGTGACCAGTCAGTCTCTTCCTGGGTCAGGTGCAGGATGACATTGGTGAGCTGGCTGGCAGAAAGATGAGCCAGTGCAGGGTTCAGCTTGCATATGGCCTTGAGGATCTTGAGGCACAAGGAACGGCAACCAGAGTCAGCCTGGTCTAAGGCTCGTAGACGAGCTGTTTCTGCAGGTCGAAGGCTGAGTCGCCATAGGTTATCATACTGGGCTAATCGGTGAGGTTTGGCTACCAGGACAGTGTCACCTAATGTCACGGATGGTAAAAAATCTATTAGAAGGTGCCGGTCTCTTTCATACTGGACCTCCAATGTTAAAGACTCCAAAGGCGCTGCTGGACGGATCACATAATCAAGGAGGGTCCCAATAGCTGGCCAGTTGATGGAGCCAGCCACTACTTTCTCAAAGGCATCAGATACAGCCCTGGGTGAGAGATAACCTCCCACCACACAGCGATCCCAATAACTGCTGCCACGAGGGAAGTATTCTGGGTTTTCACGACGTACCAAGCAAAAGCCAGGGATGTTCATAATGGTATCTTCACCTGGAATGCATGCCCACAGGTTCTGCTCCAGCACCAAAGGAACAATGAGCTGGATATGATCAGCTGTCACAACCTGTTGGGGTGAAAAGGCAAGAGGCTGAGCAGCCAAGATTCTTAAAGATCACATCAACCACCTGGCTAGAGGTGTGATGGCCAATGTCCTGCTAGAATATGCTCGAGGTAGTTACCCATAAATCCATAAGAATACAGTAATAAAAACAGAGTTTATGCTTCAGGAAAACAACAGCCTTTTTAGCTATTCTGTCAACACTGTCACTGTGAGGCAGGCATTCACAGTTCTACACCTTCATCGTGTTTCATATACACCCAGAGGTATTTTCCCCTCTGAATTTTACTGTCTGGAAATAAACTTTCATAGCGATGAGGTTTAACTGAGATTTTGAATATAACAGGGACAGTCTTGTTTGTTTTGAGGTTGTGCATGCTTAGAATCCTACTTGTGATTTACACTGGCATAAGTGAATTTGCATAAGGTGTGGCGGCAAAGTGACATTCATGAATAAGGTTTTGATCACATTCCTCCAGCAAACTGACAACTGGAGTATAACCAGGAATGTAAGCACCACTACACAAATTAGTGGCAGTTTGCTGCCACAACACACATGACTTCATTTATGCAAGCATATATCAACATTCAGATTCTGGCTTATATTTAGTTTTACCTGTGCTGTTTAAATAGAATGCATAGACCATACCTTAAGAAGACTCCTACGAATATGAGAAACATACAAAATAGAATTACTTCAGTGAAATAAAATAAATAAACGCAACATAGCAAGCAAGGGCTTTTAATGGAAAGGGATAGGAAGCCAACTCACATTGAGTCATACCACTTTTTTATCTAGTTCAGGATGCGGAATCTTTGGTCCTCTAATGTTTTGGAATGTGAATCTCAGAATGCTTCACTAATGGCCATGTTGGCTGAGACTTCTGGGAGCAGAAGTTGACAACATCTAGTGGACCAAGTGTTCCTCAGTTCCGAGTTAGCTCAATGCCGTCCACATTAACTGGTAACAACAGTTCTTTGGAATTTCAGACAGAGAGGCTTTTCAAGCTCCACTTGCAGATGTCAGGCACTGAACCTAGGACTTTGTGTGCAAAGCATGTCCTTCCCAAATTTTGCTTAAAACCACAGGACAAAAGAGTCTGACAAAAACAGCGGTGCTCTGTTTTTCCGAGAAAAGCTGTATCATCTAAAAAGCAACATTTTCTACTAATGTTGAGTGATAACCTCAAACGTTTTTTATTTATTAAGAAGCAAAAAAAGAACTGTATATGAAAATTATGGTTAGAAGATTACTATATCTAATAAGAGCATTCCTTCATCAAGATAACATGCAAAGAATATCTAGTATATATTGAAAATAAGTCAACTATGGGGGGGAGGGGAGGGGAGAGAGGGCAGGAGAAGAGAGGAGAGAGAAACTATGCAGGCAGGACTTAGGACTCCCAGGATGGTATGTAGAACAGGAAAGACACACATCATTACATTAGAAATATTGATCAAAAAGAAAGACCATAGCAAATATTCAAACAAGACAGGAGAAAAGGTGCTTCTCAGGCAAGGGAAAAAGCATATCATTTCCTATGCAAGGTCAAACAAATCACAAAAAAAGCAAGAAACAAAGTGACAAATATAAGAAGAATATGGTGGTGGAACAACAAAGATGCCAGGGAAACTGTGAAACTATTTCTTCTACCATTCTTATGGAAAAATACTGAAAACCTCCTTCTCTAAAACAAATTACCTGCAAATCATCATAGAGGCTGCCACTCAGATACATTTCACGCAGAGGCATGTCTGGCAGCTTGGCACGGAGGAAACCACGCAGCTCAGCACAGATATCCATAGCAGCCTGCTTGGCCTTGGTCTGCTCTTCTGCTGGGATGGCCACCTTCCTTCTGTAATAGGCAAATAGCTTCTCTTGCAGCGACATCCGTAGGCGAGATTTCTTCAATTCCACCTGACTTTTCTTGGCAGGGGACTTATGCCTCATGGATTTCACAGAATCTGCCAGAAACGGGTTAGTGAAAGAGATACAACAGATTCAGAGGACTTCTCACTGCAAAGGACTTCTTAGCTAGTAATCACCTGAATAAACTGAGTATGTTTCAAATACTGTAGTATATTTTGAAATATACAAATAATCATGATAGCATTAAGCTCCCAAAGTCACCACTGAACCAAGACAACCTCCACCACTTAGGGATCACCAGAGCCCAGTAACACTTTTGTCCTGTATATGTTGATCAAAAATCAGGTCCCATTGGTTTTAGTTGAATCTGTTACTAAGGCTATATACTGCATAATTTAAACATTCTTCAATAAACCTATTTTGATTTATGTGACAAATGCTCTAGTAATTGCACTATTTTTGTTGGTCCTTCAACAGCAAAACATCTTCTGGGATTTGGCCTCATTCTGGAAACAGAGCAAGAATCCAACTAGATGAAATAAAAATCTATGACTACACTTCTGTTATCTGATTATTATTTTAAATTAACAGGAATGGGAACCCTAACCTGGACATCAACAAGAGGTTAACTGTTTCTTGCACAATTTTCTATTAAGAAACACATCACCCTCCACCCATCCAGTATTATTCCTTAGAAGAAAATATATAGGTACCCATACATTTTCCCTCTTGAAACTAACAATAATGAGGGGCCAATTTTTGTCACAAAATAGTATGTGAGAAAATATTAACTCCCTATGTCATTATTCTGATTGGGAACTTCTGTAATACAAGAATAAGGCAAGGTGCAATAGATTTCAACTTTCTTGAGTTTGATTAACATTAAGAAAAAAAACTTTACAAATTTAAGGGCAATTCAGAAGATGCTCTTGTTATTAGAGATTTCACTAGACAGCAAATATTTTAGATGCATATAATTTTTTTAAGGACAGTCTACTTGACCATTAGACTACTGTAACAAATTAAAATTCTTTCACCATCATATCACTAAAATTGCTACAGATAACAGGTATCTTGGATTATATAGCCAACCTATATAAATAAAATGTTACCTAGAAGTTAGATACTACCTGTTTCAAAAGCTGAAGGATCAGTGGGAAGAGTTTGAAGAGAACGGCTAAGATTAGTCTTCATATCTTGGTTTAGTAATCTTGATGAGGATCCAAGCCAACTTGGTTCTTCCCAGCTTCTCTTTCCTGACTGGCTTAAGCGGGTAGGGCTGGCAGGAGCACTGATTGCCCGGTCATACATCTAAAATGTGGGGAGACCAGGAATTGTATGTGGTATCTTCAAAAGCTTTTATGTCTACATCTTGTCACTGTGTCTTTTCATCTTTCATACAATTAGCATCTCTTCATCCACTGCATTCACACTTACCCGTTTTACAGCCAAGGTGGCAATTCCCAGCATGGCCGCACCTCCCACACCCAGTACGAGTCGGGCATTGGACAAAACAAAATCAATGGCCGTGCCAATACCATTGTCATCCTTCTTTCCTTTGCGCTCTCCAGCACCTGCCATTTCTCCTTCACTGGAAGAGAAAAATAGCACATTCGTTTGGACAATGTGACTCCATTTGAGCTCATTATAATTCATAGGTTATTACTAAGAAACTGACCATTATTAATTCCTGAAGTTTATTATAGGTTTTACCATCTATCATAGTATGATATGCTTCAGAACTACTGTATAATTTGTTAAAAATTCTAATGCAGCTTCGACTAGGTGAAGACAATCCATAGAATGTCATTGACGAATAAGGATCTGAAACTGTTCAACATCCAATCTCAAGCCTCCATCTTTCACATTACATTACCTCATATTCTGCTAAATGCAACTAAATTCCCAAGACAAGAAGACTAGTGTTTGATTTTTTTAAAAACTGAAAGACAAAAGTATGTGGTATTTTAAATAGGGCAATGTCACCTAGGTGAACGGCCTGAGCATCATAAGAACTATACACGCTTGCAATAATTTATAAAAATAGCTTTAATTGTTTTAAAAATCACAATATTATAAATAACTTACCTGACACTTAATGCATCAGTGAAGAGGAAAAGTGAACACTCCTAGGTATCCAGGCAAGACCGGTTCAGGATTCTTTTTTCAGGTTTGTACCAGACAAACAATATTAACCATCTAAACCAGATGATGAGAGTGACTGTGAAGAAAGGAAGGGACCAGAGGCATAGGAAAGAAAGATAGGGAGGCCTTTAAACCAACCCCCCAAGTTTGCTGTGCAAAAAAGCCTGGCCCTTCTCCAGCTGTCTCTCCTTATCTTCAAGATACTTAAGGTGCTGGTTCTTACGGAACTCCCGCCGGATGAAGCTGAAGTAGAACTCACGATCAGTATAGCGCAGGCCACGTCCCTGACGTAGCAGAGCACGGTAAAGTGTCAGCACTGCTTCACGGCTCCAGGTGGCCATGGAGGATGAGTGGCAGGACAGTGAACTGAAGGGAAACAGAAAATTTAAAAATCCATTTATGCACACTTGTCTAAACTGTGTCTTAAGAGAAACAGTGTAGCAATTAACCAGAGAAATACACTCATGTAAAGTTCTGCTTGTTCTTTACTTATCATTTACTTAAAATATTTAGACACCATTTTTCAAGGCAAAGATTTCCCAAGGCAGTTTACAATGTCCACTGCAGCATAATTTAGTTTCCTATATGTTGTATGGGAGGAGGACAAATAGGGTAGGGGAAGCAAGCTAGCTGAGGGAAAATTAAAGAGAATAAACATTCCTGATGTGCAGGCTGTCCTGTTTCTGTTGACAGGAAGTCCACAGTATGTGCATATCTTCATCCACACTAGCAGCAAAAGATGTGTATGCATTTATTCAGTGGCAAGATGAATTGTTGTCTCTGACACAGTGCATGATGCTTTCATATTTTATATTTGTGGTAAATTTTCTGGGAGATCTTCCTATTTCCATGAAATACGTTCAAGGAAATCAACTTTGTGATAATTCTATTCGAGATGATTTTAAAAGACTAGTGTGCCTTTCTTTCATTAAGGTGTTACATTGGAGCCCAAAAGAAGAAAAAAGGGAGAGGGACTCAAATTAATGTGTGTCCCTCTTCTCTGCTTTCTCCGAAATAGGCATCTCCTTGCATCAATACATATTGTGACTGCCTACACCCCTTCGCAGCCATTTTTCATGCTTTCTACAACCCATGGCACTTACTTTGTTCTAACACCCACAAAAATTCCCCAAATATGTAAACGTTACCAGGAAGATTCTCTAGCCCCCCCCCCCAACTCTACGGATGTTTGGGGCAGCGGAGGGAGGCTGAAATTAAGAAGCGTTTGAGAAATCAGTCATACTCTCGCCCTTTCCTCCACCCGGTGGTCTTTTAGGAGAGTACAGGCGGTGAAAAAAAGCGAAAGGCCCTCAAAAGAAACCGGAGCTGCAAGACGAGGGCGAACTCTGTCGCCCGAACAACTCCAAGATGAAGTGTCGGGGGCGAAGCCGGGGATACCCCCACATAGGCGGGTCCCAGGGTAGGGGGTCTTCTGGAGGCTCTGGGGGCTCACCCGTGGGAAGAGGCGTGGGACGAAACTAGGTGTCCTGCTTTCCAGACCTTCACGGAGGAGGCAGCCGCGTCCGTGTCTCAGAGACTCCCGAGCCCACCTCTTCCCGCTCCTGGCACAGCTCGCGGGGTCTCTCGGCAAAATGGCCACTTCACTTCCGGAGCCTGACCTCCCTCACCATAGAAACTGAAGGAGAAAGGTTTTAAAACACAAACACTGCCTTTTCTGTCCATACGCAGCACTAAGGGGAAAGGGGAGATTGGTTAAGGATTCAAGTGAATTAATAATGAATATTAGAACCGTGTTGGCCCGTGACTTTCGACTACAACTCCCAGAATTCCTCAGGAAACCTGATTGCCTGAGGGATTCTGGGAGTTGTAGTTTTACAAAAACTCATGTTTGCGCGCCTGTAATTTCTAACCTCCCTGTTGGTATGTTGCCAGTGTCAAAATTACAGGAAGAAAAAAAACGGAAAGAGAGGAAGTAATGACAAAATAATGTGGCACTAATGGATTTGTTTCATTGTGAACGAACCTCCGTGTTGGTCTGTTGCCAGTGTCAAAATTACAGGAAGGAGAAAAAAAAACGGAAAGAGAGGAAATAATGACAAAATAATGCGGCACTAATGGATTTGTTTCATTGTGAACGATTGTGGATCTAAATCCGGTTCTTGAAACACTTTTTGAGTCTATTGCCCATGATTCGTAGCTCCCCCTTCTCACGGCTGGACGTACTTCCTTTAGTCATTATATGCTGGGATGCCTGGATTTAACATTTGGAGAAGTTTTAGGGATTTTGGACAACAATTCCTCAAATGTCCCTGCCAACGGGGTTATTGTTTCCTTTCAGGGAAAAGATGGGATAGGAAAAAGTTGCTAATGATGAGCAACAATGGGATGGGAAGTTGCTCAGCAATGGACTTGTGCTTCATCGTCCGATGTATATGAGTTTTAGATTCTTTTGTTTATATACTGTATAACGATTGTCAATAGCAAGAATTTTGGAAACTCAGAATTCCTGTCATTTAGTGATCAAATGGTCAGAGGGTATTCTAGATTTGTTAACTTTTGTGACCTTTTGGAGAGCTTTGTGTAGCCTCACTACAAAACCCTGCATTTGTGCTTACAGTACCTCCCCATCTCTCTTGTATGGTTATGTTCTTGACTGATGAGATGAGGCGATAGGAAGCTACATTTCTGGGGCACAGGTCTACCCATTTCTGGTTCACTTGTCCAAAGGGGCAGGGCTAGCCCTAGATCTAATGGATTAAATTTCAGACAAATGTATTTCCACTGAACATTAAGAAAATTCTTGCCAGCAGAAGTCTTTCCATCAATTGGCGATGAACTCAATAGGGGAGGTGCCTGTCTGGCAGGAGGCCTATAAAGCAGGGCCTGGAGAGACTCATCTGCTTATTATGCTTTACTGTAGCTCTAAATTCCCTGCATCAAGTGGTGACTGGCCCAGATTTTCTGTAGCAAAACTATGTGTTAATTTAGCTCCAAAAATGCCTCTGACAACAGTGGGTCAATGTCCATGCTGAAAGATAATCCTGGTAGTTTCTTTATAGGCATTACCTATAGGCACTTTGGATCTCCAGTGAGGTGTAGTGGGTAGAGGGACAAACTAAGACTCAACAGGGTTCAAATCCCCACTTGGCCATGAAAACTCACTGGGGAAGTAGAACTGGTAAAACCACTCCTTAAATATCTCACTTACCTTGAAAGCCCTATTAAGGTCTCTATAAATTAGTTCCAACTTGACAGCACTGAGCACACACGTAGGTACTTTATAGGCAATTTTCTCTGAGCCCATAAAGTTCTGTTCAGCTTTGAATCTCATTACTGGAAATCCTGCTTCCATTGCTTTATGTTATAGCCCTCTAAACTACTGCTACTAAACTGGGAGAGAAAGGACCCCTGCACTGCTCCATGGTCTTTGGGAATCTTTGTGATGATATCCAATTGCAGGAAATAGATTTTATAATACAGCATAAACTAGAAATATTCATTAGGTAGTTACTTGAAACAAGAAAAGATACATGCCTGCTTGTCTAGAAAATTAAGTGTTGGACAATCTTTGAGAGGTTTCTAGCCTAGTTTTTTGTTATCAAATTTCAGTGGTATGTTGGGGACGGGATATGGTCACACCCTGTGAAAGCAGTTGGTCTTGATTCCGTATGAAGATACCTACATTCTTGCAATTACATACTTGTAGGAGTTCTTTCTGTATGGTTTTTCCATTGAACAGATGGAAGTCAGGAGAGGGACATCATGTCCTGCCCCCACCCCATGATATGCAACTGTGGAAGGTGCCTTGGTCGCACTGATTTCGATGGAATTACTTCTATGCAAGGCCATGGGAGTAACCTCACTGGACTCAGTGGGACTGAGAAAATAATGTTAAGATTGGGGTGTACAGTATATGTTTGATACTTGCAGCTTGTGCCGTGAGAAAGGGGTTTCATGACATGAGAATGCAAAGGCAATGCAAATGTAATTAATGATAATATTTAAATAATATTATTATCATATTTAATGATAATATATAAATAATATTTATTTATTTATTTATTTATTTATTTATTTATTTATTTATTAAATAAATAAATAAATAAATAAATAAATAAATAAATAAATAAATAAATAAATAAATAAATAAATAAATAAATAAATAAATAAATTTCTGCTTTAGCAATACAGTGTTGAACCTCTGCCCCTTAAATATTATTTAACAAATAAATTGAACAAGTGCAGCATTCCTATGAGGAAACAAATAACTATCCCCCCCCCAATGACAAAATAAATAAAAGCCACCAGCAGTGCCATAGGAATAAACCCTGCAAGAAAGAAAAGCTGATCTTGGGTGGGTGGGGGAATGAAATGAGAGAGGACAGGATTATCTCAAAGCATCAATGAAAGAAAACCTCTAATCCTGCCTGCTTAGTTCCTTTTTTTACTTTGTTGCTAGCAGTACTGTCTCAAATATGGATATTGTAACAACTGCACTTGTGATGGACCATTGTACATCTATGGGGAATCTCTCTTATCTTCAGAGAACAGCTTTGAGACCATAGAGATTGGAAAAGATAAGATAGAAGCATCGGGAGGACTGGAGATGCACAGAAGAGGCATTTCCCCCCTCTTGTGGGAATACAGATGCTCACGCTACATATCAATGGTGCCGCCTTCTGGCTGTTTTATGCAAAGCACATAGGTGGCATACGACATTTCGTTTTCTGAACTGACACTATGAGAAAGGCACATAAGAAATACATCTTTGTAACCTCATCCACTGGAGAGATGAATGAGTCTGCAAATGTATTTGTAACTCAAGATAATTAATCTACTGAAGGAGCTGCACTCCATGAGAGCTTTTCCTATAATAAGCTTAATAGTACAGTAACTCTGAAAATTGTTTTGCAGCTAACATGGATTCCCTTGCATTTTCAGAAAACTTAAATAACTAATTTAGCCATTGTAGCAATGGGACGGCATTGAATGAAGATTTCATGTAAAAAATACCATGACTTTAATTTCTAGGGATTCATCCCTCCAGCAAAGATAAAGCTCCCAAGATTGACTTATATTGACCTTCGTTACCCAATCCAGCATCTAAAATAATCTCCAGCTTTGACTAAATAGAAAATGGCTAAGTCTCTCTGGTCTCTTCCTCTAAAGAGGCTGTTGGCTTTGTACTGAATGGAGACAGTTTGGATTTGCAGAGGGGTTGTTACATTTTCGAAAGAGAGATTCAGAGTATTTTTTAAAAACAGCTTTTTAGTTCACAGCAAACCTAGGGGCCATTTAGGATGAAATCTTAGCAGCAGAATAGCCCTGCTATAATGTTGGTATGTTTTTTTCCTTTATTTTCCTTTTAGACAGCATGAAGACTACTATGCTGTAACATTGAGCTACCTCATTCCAAGTGTTTGGTAGGATCATCATACCTGAAGAAATGTGGGATTGTTTTTAAGTTGAAAGCTTGGTCCGAGAATTTTGGGCCTTTTTAGCTGGCCTAATAAAGATTGCTTTTGGAATTTGAAAATGTGTATGCTTGCTCTTCTGTATTGTGAGAGGTATGGATGAAAAGGCACTGCTGAACCCTCATCTTTTTAGTACCTTTGACGCAGGTTAAATTTAGCAGAAATGTCTTATTGTTGCTGGGAAAGGAGAGGTACATTCACCTGAACCAAAGGTGGGCAGACATCCAGTCAATAATCAGCTATTTCATACTGCAAAACACTGCTAATGACAGGCAAAATGATTTTTGAATTAACAATTATTGAATACTTCAGTCTGATAAAACAGAATTTGCAAATGAGTATGCAGTTCAGTGAGTTAGGTATCTGGCTACAGAGCCAGATGATGGGGGTCTGTTTCCCCATTGTGCCTCCTGTGAGTAGAGTCAATCTGTGTGGCCGGCAAGTTCCACAGTCCCAGGATGCCCCCACAAGAAAGGAATGGTAAACTACTTCTGAATACTCTCTACCTGGAAACCCCTGAAAAGGGGTCGCCATAAGTCAGAATTGACTTCACAGTATATTATGATGATGATGATGTACAATTCTGCCTAAACAGATTGATCCAATGTAAAAAATGGGACCACATTTGTGATGTCCTATGCAATCATCTCAAATTTTTATTGTTCAGTAAGCAAGACCAGTTCCTGTGAAGTGAAGGAGACACAGCAGTCTGACACACAACTACAGTGGTACCTTGATTTACGAACATCTCATCTGACACACAACTACAGTGGTACCTCAACTTACAAATGTCTCAACTTGCAAACATTTCGAGTTACGAACAGCTCCGGTTGAAAAATGTTGCTTCGACTTGTGAACGGACCCTCGACTTACGAACAAAAAAAACCTTTCCTGCCCTTTTTTGACCTAAGTTCATCTTAGGTCAAAAGAAGAACATTTTAAAGAAAAAATCTTCCCCTAGTGGTAGAGTACAGATTAACCGGTTTTGCATTCGTTCCTATGGGAACGAATGCCTCTACTTACGAACAGTGCCTCGACATACAAATGAAAAACAGCCTGAATGGATTAAATGGTTTTCAGTGCATTCCTATGGGAAATCTTGCCTCAATTTGTGAACTTTTCTACATACGAATGCCGTTCCAATACGGATTAAGTTCGTAAATCGAGGTACCACTGTAGTTTAAATCCACACTCTTCACTTAGGGTTTCTCAGAAATAGTTATTATGGGCCTAAGGTGGGTGACAGTTGGCTTAGGCATCTGGCTGCAGAGCCAGCGGTTGGAAGTTGAAATCCCCACTGAA